GACCTTGAGAGTATTACGCTGAGCAAAATATGTCAGACAGAGAAAGCCAAATACTGTATGATTTCACTCATATGTGGAAGATAAAAACAACAACAACAACAAACACATAGATACAGAGATTAGATTGGTGGTTACCAGAGGGGAAGGGGGGAGGGTGAAAGGGGTAGAAGGGCACCTGTGTGTGGTGATGGATGGTAAATTAGCCTCTGAGTGGTGAACACAATTTGGTCCACGCAGAAATTGAAATATAATGATGTACACCCGAAATTTATATAATGTTATAAACCAATGTTACTGTAATAAAAAAAGATGATAATTAATGAATAAAAAAGTATTAAATCCTAATAAATTAAATCTGGAGAGGGGACTACACAAGAACATGACTACTAGGAGAGCCACCTACTGGGCCCTCACTGGGGCCACCTTAGAGACTAGCTACCACGTGAACCTATGTGTTAACTGGCAGTGAAACCAAAGAGAGTGGACTATTGTAAATGACTTTAAAACATAATGACTTCACTGTATGTCTCCAGTGGGATATATACTCTAAGGAAAATATTTTTTGAAGAAATACCTTTAAATATTTTCAGTAACCAATATGTTGATATTGTTATGCTATATGTGTATTGTGGGATAAAGCAAATGAGTCATTATCTTGGTGGCTTTTAGATTTGGGATTTCTGGTGTAGGAGAAATGAAATATAATATTGATGAAATTATATAAAAATCTTATAGTCCTCCATTTCAATCAGAAATATCTGTATGAACTCTTTTTTAAAATATATATTTCCTAGCTTTGTCCACTTAAAAAACATAGAAACAATGACCAACCCCACAGCAATGAGCACCCTGGCATCTGCATCGTGTTCAGTAAATTCCAAAGGCTGATTCCAGCTTTAAGCCTGGAGCATCTACTTACACCAAAAGCAATGAAGACATGCAAGACTTCCTAAGACTTGTCAAAAAAAGACTCAGGATCTAATTTAAAATGGCTTCTACTAAAAAAAAAAAAAAAAAAAAATTAAGCCTCCCACTAGTCGCAAGTGGGATATTTGGGGTATCAATAAAAATAATAACTAATAGATTTAAAAGCATTAAATATATTGAAATCTGTAAATTTATAGTAATTCTTTAAAAAAACAAAAACCCACTGGTCATCTCGGAAGAATGTTAGGAAACAAGCTATTTTTAAACTGGTGAATAAAGGGATCCAGCATTTATTCAGTCTACCTTCTACACAAGCTGTATCTTAGATAACAGTTGATGGGGGCCAGTTTCTCTCTAGAGAAGTATTCCTGTTAATAAGTAAGAAGTCATGATAAGATAAGAATATCACCATTTTCCAAAACCCTAGTGAAAAAGAAATGGACTAAAGCAACGAGTATTAGTGCTTAAAAAGAAAGAAAACCTAATAGCAGTTGTTTCCACGGAAAAAGGCACCACTGATGAAAAAAATCTTGTCAAAATCAATTGAAAAGTTGAACATGATCAAAATTCTAGATCTAACTACTATTTTACAGGAAATATATGGCAAGTTTGTTAAACAGCGTAGGGATGCGAGCAACAACATCCAGACTGTGGAGAACTGTAGGACAGACAACACAGCTTCTTCAACAAATAAATTGTGAGGGGAAAAACTGCAAAAAGAAAGGGGGTGGGAAGAACTGGAAATGTTAAAAGATGTGAGAAAGATCCACCAATTGCAATATATGGATCTTATTTGGTTCCTTTTTTGAATAAACTATAAAAATAAGATTTATTAGATAATTGGGAGATTTTGAACACTGCCTGGATATTTGATGATATTAAAGAATTACTGTTAATAATAAGGAATTTTTTACGTGTGACAGTTATTGTGATTATGTTTAAAAAGAGTCCTTGTCCGTAGGGCAGTGGTTCTCAAACTTCAATGTGCATCAGAAGTGCTGGAGGGCTTATTAAAACACTGATTTCTGGGCCCCACCCCAGAAATTCTCATTCAGTGTGTCTGGGGTGGGTCTGGAGAATTCCCGTTTTTAAAAAGTTTCCAGGTGATGGTGAAGCTTCTGGCCCAAGACCACACTTTGAAAGCCACTGCTTTATAGAAAAATGCTGAAAAAATGTGGGTGAAATAGTACAGTGTCAGGAGCTCGCTTCACTCTGGTGGTAGGTGACGTGAGCGTAAATAAAACAGGAATGTCGGCCGATAACAGAAGCTCAGTGAGGAGTATATGGAGTTTCATTATACTAGTCTTCTACGTGCACAGATGTTGGAGGTTTTCCATAACTAAAAGTTAAATTTTAAATAAAATATAAATTTTTACACATGTAAATAAAATATTCAAATGATTAATTCTAATATTTATTGTATTTGTTTAAAGCATATATTGAAATCACATTTTATATACATTAATTTGAGAGTATGACTTCTTTTCAATTCTACATTTCTTAAAAAGTCCTATCAAACTTTTCACATGCATTGTTCTCGTGGTCGTATTCGTTATCACTAGTGTCTGTTTTTGAGCCATTTAACAGCTTTCTAGAACACATCAAGACCTTGGTCTAAGTTGGTTAAGAAATGGAACTTTTCAAATCTGCATTTGGTGCTGTCCCTGCAAATTTTCTCCCAGGCCACAGCTATGCATTGCACAATATTAAGACAGTTTGTTGGGTTCACTTGTCTTGCAGGAGAGTGTTCATGACTTCCATAATATAACAACGTTAAAATAGTTTTTTATAAGCCATCTTTAAAAAAGACTTGCTTACACTTCCAATATTGTAAGTTCCAACACCCCAAGAAGAGTTACTCAATCTGAGTTAAATTTCTGTGCTTTATTTGTACCAATTCTTTTAGGTAAATATCACAAAACTAGCATTGCTCGTGGTCATTTCAGGCTATGTGTCATCCCCAAGCAGTACTTTGTGATTCATAATGAAGTGAATGAGAGAAACCCGTGGTATCAGAGACTTCATAGGTACTCTGGCAACTCCTGAAGTCAGAAAAACGGGGATTTTTTTTTTTTCTGGTGGGGAAGATTGGCCCTGAGCTAACATCTGTGCCAATCTTCCTCTATTTTTTGTATGTGGGATGCCACCACAGCATGGCTTGATGAGTGGTGTGTAGGTCCATGCCTGGGATCTGAACCCAAGATCCCCAGGCCACTGAAGCAGAGTGCATGAATTTAACCACTATGCCACAGGGCCAGCCCCAGAAACATCATGATTCTTGATCAAAACTTCCCATTTTATCTTCTTTGACACTTTTGCTTTTGAAAAACAATAGCCCAGGAGCTGGCCCGGTGGTGCAGCGGTTAAGTGTGCGCGCTCTGCTTCTTGGCCCGGGGGTTCACAGGTTCGGATCCCAGGAGCACACTGACACACCGCTTGTCAAGCCACACTGTGGCGGCATCCCATATAAAGTAGAGGAAGATGGGCACGGATGTTAGCCCAGGACCAATCTTCCTCAGGAGAAAAAAAAAGAGGAGGATTGGCAACAGATGTTAGCTCAGGTCTGATCTTCCTCACACACACAAAAAATAAAAACAAAAAAAAGAAAAACAACAGCCTAGAATGATTTATAGCAGCGAAAGGAGAAATCTAAAGCCAGGCATGCCCTTGCCTGAACAAGACATCGTCACCATTCTGACACTGTTTCTTTATTTGTTCTTCAGATTTGGCACTGTTCTTAATGCTGGGAGTCAGCAGGATCAAGACAGTCCTGGCCCACATAAAGCTCACACTCTATTGGAGAGACATACACAAAAAATAACAAACAAATACCTAATATAGTTTTAGAATTTACAAAGTATTTAAAATACATACACTCCTTCTTTACAGCATTCCTAGGAGTACAATGTATTTTCTTCTTTCTATAGGTAAGGCCATAAAATTTAGTCTGTGATATCTGTGCCCAAAGATCTCTGAGGGCAGGAATCATACTTGCCGTTTTCACCTGTGTCTGTCACGCTGAAGATAAGGGCACTCCATAAATTCTGGTGTGAAGACAGGAGTGAAGGGGGCTGTGGCACACCTCAGCTCCTGGCGATGATGAAGTATTGACAAGTGCTTCTCTAGATACTGCAACAGCGAAGTGCATCTACTCTCAGAGGCAGAGAAATATGTACATGTGGCTAGAAATGGAAATATTTTATATTATAAGTAATTTCCATAGAAATATTGTTCTGAGAACGATATATCTGAAATACCTAACCAAACACTTTAGAGAAAGAGACTGCTCTGTGGACTGAATGTGGAATCTCTCATCCTAGGGATAGTGGTGAAAAGCAGGGTTCAAATCTTATCTGCACAATTTACTAGGGAGTAAATTTTGGGCAGGTTTTACCCAGTCATAGCTCTACTGAAATGTTTCCCAGCTCCCCTCACCCTCAGAATGAAGCACAGACGCTAACAAGACTCCTCATGGCCTTTCCCCTGCCTTCCTCTCCAGGCTTCTCTGCCTTTCCCAAGCCTTACACTGAGCTCTGAAAGCATCCCCTCTCTCTCTCACGTGCATGTGCTTTGAGTTTATCTATATCTGTACTCTTCCTTCTCTTTTCCTCGTCCGTCTCCACTCGTTAGACTACTGAAATCCAAATCTAACTCATCTTCCAAGCCTAGGCTTAAATCTCGTTGCTTCAGACCTGCACTGCCAAGTCCAGGTTAGATGGACCTGTGGAGTGCTCTGACAGTGGCCCTTACCACCCCATCCTGTTCCTGTGCCTCTCACTATCTGCAGGCTCTGTGGGAGCAGGGGGTCAAATCTGTTTTGTTCGCTGTAGGGCCTATTGCAGCGCCTGCCCAGACTAGACAAGCCATAAATATTCCTTAAATGAAGGAATGAAGTTACTTAACTTCTACAAGAAGGGGATTCAATGACTCAATGATTCCGTGGGCTGAAGTTCATTTGGAACTGGGAATGTTTTTTAAGAAATTGCAGGGCTCACTCATGTTCTCCCTGCTTTCCTTGTTCTCTTCCCCTCCCTGCTTCTACCTCTTACTACTGTTTGTCTTTGTTCTTTAAGATTCCCAACCAGACAAATGTCCATTGCAGCTCTGTACCAACTGGAGACCAGTCCCTGTCCTATATCCATGGCCTCCCCAGGAGAAACCTTAGAGACTGGTCCTTGGAACAGGTGGCAAAGGGCAGCTCTGACCAACCTGAGGTGTGTATATTAAGAGTTGTTTTCTATTGTGGATGAAGGGGTGTTATTTGTTGACTGCAATATTTTGTTGTGGAGCAGATGATAAGACAGTCTGAGGATGGACTGATGGACATCAGACTCCATATGTCCAGTCAGCTTTCCAGGATGCTTCCCTGGGAAGTGCACAGGCAAACATTGAACTCCTTTTCTTCCTCCCACCTTTCTCCTTTTCAAGGGTCCCTAAGCTCAGGAAGGGCCACTACACACCCAGTTAGCTCAGGATCAGGGCGTCGTCCTTGACCTGCACTACCCAGCACTGAACTTCCAGATCCAATGGGTCTCTAAGATTCGTTATTCTAAATTCTTATATAATCAAATAGTTATTTTGTAGAAGACACTGATAAGGAGCCTTCTAACACAGTATGTACTCTGAAATACTTTGCTTCCTTTCTTCTGAAGGAAAAGGTCCTGAGGCATTTGTTGTAAACTAATGAACACACCCAGATTGAGTACTTACCCTCAGGTGTCACCAACCCGTCCTGTCCCAGCCTAGGCCTGAAAGTGGATGCTCTGATTCTAGCCCCGCTAGGCTTCTGCTTCCTTGCCTCGGCATCAGCCATCTTATTTTAGAGCCGTGTTCATTTTTTTTTTATTGCTGTGTCAAGATATTGACCAAAGGCCAGGTGGAACAACAGGAGAAGACACTTCTTGCCCTGGTCAGGAGTGAGCTCAAGTCACGGCCTCTGAGTCTCAGCTTATTAGAGAAGCTTCAGAAAGAGCTGAAGATCCTGGATCCTACTTCTTCAGGATTTCTTCTTCAATCTCAGCTGAGCCGACTCTTCTTGAGGCATGAAGTCCCTCTACAGTTACCAACCATCAAGATCCTTTGCCAGAGATGTTCCAGGAGGGGCTCTCCTGAAATGGTATGGCCATCTTTCTCTTTTAAGTGTGGCTTCCTTTTGTTTATTTTACTTGTATCCACCAGAGTAATAGAATTAAAAGGTTAGTTTCTTCCTTGAAAGTAACCTTTACTATTGGCCCCTGAGAGAAAAACCTTATTAATATTCATATGTAGAAATTTCCAGTCAGAATAGACCAGAATAGAAAATAGGTTTAGGTCTTTTAGCCCTGTTTAATTTCTTTAAATGGCTTTCCTGTCCCAACTTCCATTGTCTGCTCTCAACACTATTGGGATAGTTACAGATATGAGACCGTGGGCCCACCTGAGTCCTTTTACAGGCTGATCAGTCTGTAGACTCGGAGAAAAGAACTGAGAACTTGACTACGATTTCTCATGTGTCACGACAGTTCTTGGAGAGTTAGAGGTGGGAGGTACGTTTGAAGTATGACTCACCACCACCATTTACGGATTAGGAAACTGAGACACAGAGGGGTCCAGGAACTTGCTCAGGGCACCCAGAGAATTAATGGTAGACCTAGGGCAGGGTCAAGGTTCCCCGATGACAAGGCTGGGCATCTCTGAGCACTGCACTTGCCAAGCTCACTCTTGTGGGTGAATGTAAAGCGTGGTGCAAGTGTAACCAAATTTGGGGAGCTAGAGGAAAATATCCTCAAACAAGAAGACGTGATAGCAGTGGGCAGATCCTTAGTGAGCATGCGTCCACAGGAAACAAGGGCAAAATCAACTTCAAAGGGTAGTCCCAGGATTTAGTAATAAGACGAGTGCAGACTCCCTGGTCCTGTGCTAGCATTTAGTAGGTGCTGAGACAGATGTTAGTTCTCTCTCCTGCCCGTCTCTAACCTGTGGAAACAGAATTAGTGGTATATTTATGAGAAGTGTTTAGCAATACAATGTCAACTTCTTAGTACAACCTCTATGAATCTTCAGTTAGATCGAATTCTCTGGCCTGAGACCTAGTTTCTATGAGGACCTTATCTAGCTTCCCTCCCCCACTGCTACCCCTCCACTGCCCTGGAGTTATCTGTCCACCAGAGTCCCTAGGATGTCACCCAGCCCAGCAGTGGAAACGGACGGCATTCCTTCAGTCCTTTCCCGTGTAAGAAAAAGGCATTGAGATTTTTCACCTGGCTTAGTAAGGCCTTGTCCTCAAATAATCTGAATATATCTGCTGAATATATCTAAATATAAGCATTTATTATATATATATAATAAATATATAAGCAATGTATGAGAGAAAATGAGAGAACAGAGGCTAATTTATGCTATAGTAACAAATAACCGCAAGGTCTCAGTGGCTTAAAACAACGACAGTTTATTTTTCATTTACCTTACATCTCCGTCATGAGTAGCCAAAAGCTCTTCCCTGACCTGTCGTTATCCCAGCACCAAACTCAGGCTGACGGAGCAGCTGCTCCGGGGTATTTTTGGACGTGATGGCAGAGGGGAAGGAAGAGAGCGCTTAATCCTCAGCCCAGAAGCAGCACATGCCACGTGTGCTCACAGCTCATTGGCCAGAACTGGTCACACGGCCCTACCCAACCACAAGGCAACCAGGAAGTATGATTTTACCATATGTCCACAGGGAAAATAATAGGAATATTTAGCAAAAAGCACTAATAATTATGATACTATATGTTTAAAGCTATTTTTAAAACTTTCAATATTAAAAATTTTCCAAATGTATTTTATCTCAGCAGCCTCTTTCCCTTACACATAAATGAGGATGTTCTGTTTTGTGTTTAATTTTCAGGTGAATTATGGAAAACTACTCTGGTTTTTAAAACTTGCAGCTTCAGATGACCCACAGCAAAGCAAGAGGGTTGTGAACAGCAACCCGAGGAAAACTCAGGGTGGTTGCCATCACAGCCAAAGGTACCCTCTCCTTTCTGTGACTTCCGGAGCTGTCAGGGCTCTTGATGGCCACGCCCTCACAGCTCATGCAGGGCAAAACCGCTTTGTTCTTCATCAGCACCTGGCTTATGCTTATGGTTCTCTCTCTCTCTCTCTCTCTCTCTCATGCACACGGCGTAGGAAGTGTTTTGCAGCAACTGCACGTGCTACTTAACACCAAGTTTTGGCCTTTTTTGTGACTTTGCCTTGTGAAAAGGCAAACCCTCATTGTGTGTCCTGATGTAGAGCTCATCCATAAAGTGTGATTCCAGAAATGCGTTCCGTCGGTGAACACCTGGGGTACAGGCACTATCAGGTTTGGGGGGGCCGGCCCCGTGGCTTAGCGGTTAAGTACCTGTGCTCTGCTGCTGGCGGCCCGGGTTTGGATTCCAGGCGCGCACCGACGCACTGCTTCTCCAGCCATGCTGAGGCCACGTCCCCCATACAGCAACTAGAAGGATGTGCAGCTATGACGTACAACTATCTACTGGGGCTTTAGGGAAAAAAAAAAGGAGGAAGATTGGCAATAGATGTTAGCTCAGAGCCGGTCTTCCTCAGCAAAAAGAGGAGGATTAGCATGGATGTTAGCTCAGGGCTGAAATTCCTCACAAAAAAAAAAAAAAGGTTTGAGGGACAGGAATCAGTAAGCCCTTCACATAGTCTCAAGGGGGAGAAATGACTCAAAGTCCAAATAGGATGTGAGGAATGTCATTAGAGATGAGGCACTACAAGGAGCCATCGATCTGTGTTCTCTGAGAAAAATGATGAAATGCAGTGGTTAGGAGCAGAACCTCTGTGCTGGAAGCCTGGGCTCAGTCACTGTCTCTGCCACTTAGTGGCTCTGTGAGCCTGGGCTAGTCACTCACCCTCTCTGTGCTTCCATTCTCCAACTCTAAAGTGGGAACAATAATAGATTCACTTCACTTCATAGATTTGTAAGAGCGACTGGGTTAGTTAATGCAAAGTTCTTAAAAACAGTGCCTGGAACATCGTAAGTGCTATACAAGTTTCTGTTACTATGTTAAACTACCCTACCAGAAGACACTCTTTTCAGTTACAAATAATGTGACATGGTGGTTAGGAGGCATGACATTGGAGTTTAGCACTTCGCTCCAGGAAACAAGTAGGGTTTCCTGTAAAAATGTCCCTGGGCCAAGGCTTAGACTTGATTCCTTCTTTTTTTTTTTTTTTTCTTTTTTACTGTATCAAATTTTATTTTATTTTATTTATTTATTTTTTTGGTGGGGAAGATTGGCCCTGAGCTAATATCCATTGCCAATCTTCCTCTTGTTTTTTTTTTTTTTCTCCCCAAAGCCCCCGGTACGTAGTTGTATATCCTAGTTGTAGGTCCTTCTAGTTCTTCTATGTGGGACACCACCTCAGCATGGCTTGATGAGCGGTAAGTAGGTCTGTGCCCAGGATCCGAACCAGCAAACCCCTGGCCACCAAAGTGGAATGCACAAACTTAACCTCTGCGCCACCGGGCTGGCCCCTGATTCCTTCTGTAGGCTGTCCTTTTTGACTGAAATGCTTCATTCAACAAACGTTCGTTTACTACTGGATGCTTGCCAGGCACACTTTGCTGGGCACAGTGAATTCAGAGTTGGCAAGGCCCAGTCTCTCCGTCAAAGGCTCACAGTCCAAAGAAAGTGACACTGCCACGTGGGTATGCCAGTCAGATATTGCTCTGGGACCAATTGTCCTGCTGACAGCCATAAAGCCCCAGGCATTTTAATAATCAGCAATCATACTTCGCATAATTCAGGTCATGAGCTCTGGGCCCTGAGAGTAGTAGACTCTGCGCTGGAACACATGGCCTCTCTTGGCAGGTGTGGGTCTTGTGAGTCCTAGGTAGGAAGCCTCCCCACCCCTAGACTCGGTTAGCTCTCTTTGCTCTGTGGTCCCACGGTCCTTTCCCTTCATAACAGTCATTGCACTTGTAATTACTTACTTGATACATGAGGTTAGGAACAGTGTCTGTCCTGGCCAAATCGGTGTCTGGCATGGTTCTAGCATAGCTCCTGTCACAGGAAAGATGCTCAGTAAATATATACCGAGTGTAACTGGCACCTCCAGTTCTTCAGAGAGCTTCCATCACTCCACTTACAGGGACAGCTGGGTGTCTGCTCTAGAAAAAAGGTGCACAAAAAGATCAGTTGGCGCTCATCAGAGAAGGTGCTGCTTCTCACAGTGTGTCTGTGGAAGTGCAGGACTGACAGCCTGTAGGAACCCAGTCTCTTGGTTAATTAATGTGCTCTCAGCAAAATGCCCTCCCGTGTTCTGTCAGGTAGAACCTTTAAGGGGCAGCTCTGTAATGTGCAAAGAGCTTCCAGCATCACCAGTGGCAGCAGCTCTCATCACCCAAGTTGGACTAGATGAGATCCACTCCTGCAGCAGGAAATCCCACCAGCTGCAGGAAATGAGTTCCATATAACGCCTGTCCATCCAGCACTCCCTGTACTGAGACGCGGGCCGAGCCTCATGAATTCCTACCCCCAGGAACTGGCCCTGCAAGAAAAGGAAAGAGGAAGGAAAAGGAAAACTTCTGATTCAAATCTGGGACAGATGTATCTGCTTGGCAAGGCCTGGGCCAGGTGCCTGGGCAGCGGAGAGAGGCTGGTAAAGCACAGCTGGCATTTTCCTCTGCTGGAGTGAGAGGCAGCTTCCTAAGCTGGGGACTCCCAGGATAAGGGGAGGATGGTGCAGACGCCAGGCGACCAGAACAAGGACAGATAGCCACTCTTCCTCTCCTGTGCCAAGCTTTTGGAAAATATCAGCTATTACTAAGTAGTTCAGAATGGTACAGTTTTGGGCGAAACCTCACAGAGCAAAAAGAAGATACAATATGACCTTTAAGAAAAGTTAAATACATATAAAAATAAGTTCCAAGTACTGTACAAGACCCCCAAGAAGTAGTAAGTAACAAAACAGACTCCATCCATGTCTTAGGAGCAGTCTCCCAGGGAAGTCAGACGTGAAGCAGTAACTGAGGAATAAAGACGCAGCTGCATCTTGAGGGAGACTTATTAAGGAAAACAAGGAGCTGTGAGAGTTCATCAAGCAGGAAGGTTCTGGAACTCCACGAGCCATTTGTGAGCCTCAGTTCCTGGTGCCTCCTCATTCAATGACATCATATTGGTAGCTTGAGACTGGCCGTGGTGGGAGTATTTACACCAGGAGAATTAGTAATGCTGCAAATCAGGGCTTGTCTTGGTGCACTGGTCGTTAAAAATTTACCAGCACACCACTGAAAGGAAACTGATTTGCGTGAGTGGAGGTTGGGGGCTGTCCTAGAAAGTCCTTCCAGGAAAGTGGCCCTTAAGTTGAGACAGTGAAGATTAGGAGACGATAGTTCAGCTGGACCTGGAAGGACCCACACATCCGAGTCTTAAATGAGAAAACATCTCAAACTAGTTCGTAAGATAAATGAGTATAATACTTATCATCCTGTTGTTTTTTACCTATTATTTAAAGTAACAATAGTCAGTTAGATAAACCATCTTAATAGTTACATACATTTGCATGCCAGACAGTAAGTGAACACTTACACTCATGCCTTTTCTGCGTTTTCCAGATACAAGGAGTACAGTCAAGGGTAATGCAGGAAGTTCACCTGGTTCAGGATTTCCTTCTATATAGGTTCTCGGTTACAGGGACCTGACAGGATCTGCTTTGCTTTGCTTACAGCAATGGATAGTTTAGAAATTTGATTTGTCATCAATCATTATCTGGGCTCAAGAAAAATAAGATAAAGCAGGTAACGTAAACTAGTGTGGTCACTTCTAATTTTTTCTCTCAACCTGGAAAAAAGAGTTAAAGAATGGATTACAAATCTTGGTGTGTGTTCTGGTTGAATTGGTTGATGCCTCCTGGAGGAGATACTGTAGTGCTCACTAGAATGGAACAGGTTTGAGGTTATCTATGAAATCTCCACGTGCAGTACCATGACTGGGTTACCAAGATTAAGAAGACCTTGCTGGGTGGGTTCTCTCGTTCCACAGTGCATGTCAGGGATAAGAGATGTGGTATAAAAACACGCAGTGGCTTTGAGTGAATCATCTTTTCATAGCGTTTCCCCTGCCCCGTCAAGCAATACTGCCCCTCAAGACTCCGCTTCGCAGTCAGAAGTGAACAAGAGCCTGTTGGAGATCTTGAAGATGATGCTAAGGACAAGCAATGACAAACTCAACATAGAGAACCTCAATCTGAGTTTTCGCAAAGAAGATCACTCGTTCTCTGGCCACCTGCCCCTCCACAAGGTAACCAAAATTAGAATTCAGATTTGTTCATCTCCAAAAGGCTACCTCGGGGCATTGGGTCTATAGTCAGAAGGCACAGTTATGATCTGTGCCTGTGGATTACATTACACAATTGTTTATTTTCTGTGCCAGAGTGGAGAAAAATGAAATAGAAGAGGAATCGCGAAATGTGCAGAATTGGTCCAGGAATTACTTAGATTAGGCTATGTTTTATGTTAACAACAGAGAATATGACAATACCCAAATAATATTTCACATTGGAAAAGAAATATTTTTCCAAGGCCAGATGTTCATTTCTCACACCCTCTACCAGCTTCCAGTGAGGCAGCATGTGATAACCTATTCCTTAGAACACTAAGTTTTAGGGACTAGTGTGATTTATTGCTAATAGAGATTAGCATGCTGTTTCGGGGCATTAATTAACAGTGCAGATGTGTTTCATGGAAGAGAATCCAGAACCATATTAACTCACATGTTGTCTTTAGCTAAACACACCCCAGTCATGAGGCTACCTTGGATATAGGTGAAATAATAATTGCCACTGTTACTACAATTCCATTAACAACAACTTGTCACCACCAAGCTTTACTGAGTTCTTACTAAGTGCCAAGCACTGCCTTAGATGCTTTACTTACGTTATCTCTTTTAACACTTACAAATAACAACAAAATCTAGGTAGATGTTATAATAACCATTTAATAAATGAAAAAAGCTGAGTCTCAGAGAGGCCAATTGAATCACCCAAGTGCCACCGCTGGCAACTGGCAAAGCCAGGATTCAAAGTACAGAAGAGTACTGGAAATTGAGAGCCAGAATTAGAACTCCATCAGGCAGGAGATATCTGGAAGTTTCCGTTGAGTCCAGGATACAAGAGTTAGAATTTCAGAGGAGTAGAAGGGATTGGAAATTACAGGGGAAAAAAAAAAAAAGATTCCTGTAGGAAAGATTGGAACATGCCTTTTATCTAGGTAAACAAAGGTTAGAATTGAGAGAGTCAGAGAATTTGAAAGAACATGTGATGTTTACTAAGGAAGCAAGGACACAGTATGCTGGCAGTGGGTTCTTCTAGGACAGAAGCAGCTTTCTCTATACTTTCATTTACACAATCAGCTAACCATGCAAAGGCACGGCTCAGGATAGTGTGTGTGTGTGCGCGCGCGCACGTATCTGTGAATATTACATGTGCACGCATGTTTCACTAGAAAGAGAGAGAGAACACTGCGGGAGATCCCACACATCAGAAAGGGCCTTCACTACGTTCACGAGAAGATCAGTAGAAATAGACTAAGAAGCAGCAAATCTTTGTTAGATTAGAAACTAAGTAACACCATCAATGAAACTTACATGTTGTCAGGTGATACTCGTAGAATGGAACATAAATGACTTGGAAATCAAAATAAATTTGCTTAAACTCTTTAAGTCTCAGATTTTTCGTCTGGGAAAACTGGGTTCCAAATATCTGCCTCCAGTGTCTATTGTAAGGATTAAACAAGATAATTATATGAAGGCACTCAGCACACTGTCTATGAGTCACTCCATAAATATAAGTTTCCCTTCCGTCTTATGAAGGAACCAGGGTTTGGTGAAATTATCACTTCAAAACAGCCTAAGGAAGGAGGCTCTTTCCCAGGGTCGAGTGACGACCACATGGAGCATTCTTCCCCTCACAGCTGGCTCTGAAAGCTTAAATTCGTGTTTCATATCCAAGGAAATGGGGCACATTTTCCTTGAAGCTGGTCTGCCTCTCATGAGCCATCTGGCATCTCTTAACACATCTGGAACTCACTCAAAGTATACTGCAGTTCTGGGAGGCATGTAAAATAGAATTCTGTTTCCCTGGAATGTGAGACAAATTAAGGCTCAAGGGACATTGGATATGGAAAGCAGCAGCAGTTGTACCCCAGCATCCTTGCTCCTGGACACAGGGCTTCAGAGTGGACTGGGAAAGACTGTCTGAGTTGGAAGGGTGTTTCTTTTTTGATCAGTAGTTCTTAATTTCCTTGGCATGCAGGGGAGAGAATTACAGACTAACTTAAGTTTCTCATGAAATCTACAAATCCTGTCCCCAGCAGCAAAAAAAAAAAAAAACACCTCCTCATAGCCAACATGTCAGAGGGTTCACAGGTCATCTGTAGGTTCTCAGATAAATAAATGCAGTTTTGAAGGATAATCTATGGGTCTTGTCACTCAAATCAATGGAATTTTGACCACTCTCGAAAAACAGTATAAAAACATTTCAAATATCTATCACCCTCATTCTGTGGACTCACTCATCCTGTTCCTCTAGCACATCTTTGATGCAATGATGGCCTCTGGCAGAACTCCTGAGGCCATGTGGATCCACATACATTTATTTATTAACCACCCTGACCATTCCCCAAGTCAGGCATAGATTCAACAGGTCTGTGGAACCTAAGAAGTTCCCAGGTGTGCAGCCTCAGTTTAAACTTTTTATACATAATCTGTATTCTTCACCTCTTGTATTCTCATCCTCTTTCCATTCTACATGACGAACCCCGTCCAAACTACTCCCAGACCTTCCTCCCAGGATGGTCTAGCTAGAACACATGTTGCTCTACTTCTAATTACTCTTAGCTTCATTTTCATGTAACTTCCTCATTATCACCAAGAGAGAGTCTCATTACTGAGGGAACCGGGGTTTGTGTGTGTGAAGTTTGTTCTTGTGGCAAAACTCCAACTATGATGCTAGTTTACCTAGTTACCAGGACTGTAAGACATTTTTCTGCAGTTTGACAGGCTCCTTTTTTGTATTTTGTTGTTTCTATATCAGTATACTCTGCCCTAAAACTATAAAATGGTTTCTACTAACTTCAATCAATCCCTTCTTCCAATGCAATATGACATGTTTAATTTATTCCTGCATTCGACATATTAACCACTCAATGTGTTCTGGGCACTGTGATAAGGCACTGAGGGCAACACATTGTTATGATTCCAGTTCCTGAGTTCTACAGGAGCTCAGGGAAAAGGCGACGGTTTACACCTGTTGTCACAATTCTGTGACAAATGCAGTGACGGCAGTAACTGAACACAGAGAAGGAACATCAATGTAGTCTAGCCCAAAAACTCTCCGGAGGAGATGATGTAAATATTGCATCTTAGAGGACAGATGAATTCGGCAAAGAATTGGGGGAGGGGCAGAGGAAGGGATGGGAAAGATGTTCTAGGTAAAAGGAGCAGTGTGAAATGGCACCAGAATGAGAGAGATTATGACTAATTCAAGGAACTGTAAGTCATTCATATAGGCAGAGCATAGTGGATGTATGGAGACTGGGGATGGTAGGGATACTGCTCAAGTTGATGTTAGAATGGAAAGTAGGGGCCAGTTTATGAAATGTCTAAGGAGCACAAACTTTATCCTGAAGGCCCAAAGGAATCATTTAAGGATATTAAATATGTGAATGATATGATCAAATTTGAAATTTGAAAAGAACTCTCTAATAGAAGTGGAGAATTAGAGGCAGGGAGACCCTTCAGAAGGCTGTTCCAATAATTCAAGCAAGAAATTATGAGGCTTTAAACTAGGGCAGTAACAGAAGAGATGGAGATATTAAGGAGCTAGAAAAGTAGGTCTTGGTGACTAACTGGATGTGGGCCTTGAATTACGAAGAATCAAAAATGACTTCCAAGGTTCTGGCTTTGTCAACTTGGTGGACGGTGGTACTGTTTGCTGAGATAGGAAACAGAAATGGAGCAGTTTGGAAGGTTAGAGGAAGGGATGATTAGCTCAGTTTTGAACATGTTGATATGAGTTGAGAGATTAAAGCTAAATAATGATTTAAGAGTCTTTGGTATGGAGCTGAAGCCATGGGAGTAGTTAGGATTACCCAAGGACATGATGGAAAGTGAGAGGAAAAGTTGAGGAAGGTGCTCATTGTTAAGGAGAAGGAGACAAAAAGAAACCAACAAAGGAGGCTAAAAATAATCAAAAGAGACATGAGAGTGGTCAAGAAAGCCAAGAGAAGAGATTTATAGAAGGATGGCATGATCATGTCGCATGCTGCAAAGAGACCATCCATAATTAGGAGTGAAAAGTATTCATTAAATTTGAAACCGTGGAGGTTACTAGCTACTCAGAAAACACAGCTTAAGGAGAGTGATGGAGTGAAATGCAAATGGAGACTTGAATGGGAAGGGAGGAAGTTGAGACAGTGTCTGTGTACCACTCTTTCAAGGAGCATTTTGGGGAAATGAATATTTCACATGTTATTTTCTAAATAACACAGATATTTTATTTACATTTTATTTAAAAGATTTCCTTATTAAACGAAAGAAACTAAATATACTAAACATTTTCTTATTGAACAAGTGTCACAATTATGAATATTCATGTTTTAGAAGATTTTATCAATAATCCTGAATAACACTAAATTGCCAGGATTTTCTGGTAGATGTTTCTATTGCTCCTCTATACTGTTAGCAGTCAGTTCTCAGCAGCTATCAATCAATCTGCTTCTAGGAACCCCGATATACTATTTCTAATCTGCTGTTCATTTTAGCCCAGAGCAAAACTCGATGCTGCCAGAAGGAAATGAACTGTTTTTAGAATAACCTCTGTATATTGATGTTTAAAAATACGTCAATATACTCTAATCATGAGGGTAATTCAATTCTTATCTATGGAGTAAAATGGCATAATGTGACTAATTTCTGGCTCTCTAAATTTATTTCTTGCTAACCTCTGCCCATACACGCTCCACTTTTCAGTGTCTTCAACTCATTCGTTTACATCCTTGCTCATTCGTGTATTCATTTATTCAATAATTATTGTCTTTATTTTCAACACTGAGCTAGGCAATGGTGACAGGAGAATGGGTGAAACACAGTTCCAGCCCTCAGTGAGCCACTGTCTTGTAGAGAAGCTCTAAGGAGCAGATAATTACTGTCCAGCTTGGAAAGGGGTATAAAGCTCTGGTAGAATGGATACTGTCAAAGAACATGCAGTTTCTAAAAAGCACCAAGCTCTTTCTCACCCATTATTTACACATGCTTTTCTTCTGCATTGAATTTTACCCAATCCCTTATTCTCTGGCAAACTGTTACTCATTTTTTTGTGTTACAAATCAATCTTTTTTTCCGCTTTTAAGCTTCCCTGATGTTACTCCTCTATATCTAGTAAGTAACATATGCAATTTATTGTTTTTTCCCATAAAGACAAATGAAGATGGGCTTTTTATCACTGTTTTAAAATGTGGATTTTATTATTATTTAGGTGTGGTCAGACCGACAGATCAGATGATTTCCACTGAAAAAGAGTTTGTTACTCACAGTTCCCAAGAGGAGGGGGCATGGCACACCCTATAGGCCACGTAGGGAAGCACCAGGGTCAATCAGGGGGCAGAGGGGATTAGGGGAGGTGTGGGCAAGAGGCTTCATTGTGGTGCGGAGACAGGGTGAGCAGGTTTAGGACTGGCTAGTTTGAATGATCTCAGTGGGCTCTGGGGAATAGGCACTGTCCCTAGTTGCCTGGTACTTGGCCATGGGGTGATTAGGGCAGGGAAATAGTGGCCCAGGAGTGAGAACCCCAATAAAGGAGGTCGTTGGTTTGCATATGAAAGGCACACCTTCAAGCCAGTTCTTCACTATCTCTAGGAATCCGATAGCCCTGGGAGGGGCAGTCTCTCCAAGATGTCAAAGCATCAGAATAAAAAGCCATGCTTACTACAGTCACTATACTGAACTTCCTCTCAAAATAATAATAGTAGCTGCTGTTTAGTCCAAACATGAAATTAGACATTTCTTTTCTTCTTTCTTTGCCCTCTCTTTCCTTCCTTTTCCTTCCGTCTTTCCTTTCTTCCTCCTTCCTTCCTTCCTCACTCCTTTCTCTCTCTCTCTTCTCTCCTTTCCACTCCTCTTCTCTCTTCTCTCCCTCCCCTCTCTCCCTTCTTCTTCCTCTCCTCCTCTCTTCCTTCTATTCTTCATTTCCACAAATATTAATCAAATACCTACTAAGAGCCAGGCACTATTCTAACTGCTTATTTTCTCACATAATCTTCATGGAATCCTGGGAGGTAGAAAATACTAGTCTTATTTAGAAGATGAAGTAATTGGGCATAGAAAGGTTAAGTAACTTCCTGAGGCCACACAGATCACAGGCAGCAGATTTGGTGTTCAAAATAAGTCCTGTTTCATTCCAAGTCTATATGTTTAACCATTATGCTAAACACACAATGCGTACTGTCACTCCCCTAGAAATTTGACATGTTCGAATCTGCATATCATCCACCCACCAATGTGAGAACTGAACTGGTTTGTCGGCTGGACTCAGAAAATATTAAGTGCTTGGGAAACTGCAATGACACTTCATTCATTCCTCCAACAAATATTTATTGAGCATCTGGTTTCTAGACTGTGTTACAACATTTATTAACTATATGACATTGAGGAAGTCATTTAATCTCTCTAAGTCTTGGTTTCCTCATATATAAAATGTAGATAGTAATATTAATCCTGCTAATACAACAAGCTTGTTTTATAAATCAAAGTAGTTGTATAAAAATATTTTGCAACTTACCTGTGTAATGAAGTGTGTATAATTTCCAGTTCCTGACCGTCTATTCCATGGCTGACAAAAATGTAAGATCAGCATTTCAAAGTTCAGTGGCTTCTGAGTAACGAACTACACCTCTGTGTCAGCCAACTAAAAATTTTCTGTTGATAAGCATTCAGTTGGATATTCTTGTCCTGAATGATATCCTAATAGTACAATGCACTCCTATGTATTAATTGTTTGTCAAAATCATATAGGTTCTAATTATGGGAGGGAAATTCAAATCTTAATTTCATTATGGTAAAACTTCAAATCCTTTCTTATTTGCAGGTCAGAGCTATATGTGGGAAACATGGATTATATCTGACTTTGAGCCTCCTGGAAACATTGGTTAACCATCAAGATCTGGGTTACGAGGATGAAATAAAGTAAGTTGATTTTTTTATTCACATATTCCCCTATTAAGATACCAGACACAGAGATCTGTCTTTAGACTAGAAATTTTACATGTGAAACAATCAATTTCATCACTCAAAGACAGAGTTAAGGCATGTTTGCTTGTATTAAGACTAAAGGGTCCTCTTGGCCGTAGAAAAACAACAGCAGTAAACTTCCACTTCCAGCCATTGTAGACTATCAAGAATCTGATTTACCATACCACCTTAAACAACTGAAAATAGGACAAAATATATAAAGCTATGGTTTTCAGACATTGGATATCAGGCAGCACAGAACAGTGATTCTTGAGATGAGGAAAATAAATGAGGTAAGCTCAGCTTACTGAACAAGAGCAGGGAATCCAGACTGAGCCCAGCATTCTCCTTGAGCCAAAGAGGTGGAGTCTGGAGTTCAGGAAGGCCAAGGAAGCTAGAATGCACAGTACAGAGTAGCAGAGAGGAGAGAGTCCCAGAGAGTTCTTTCTGGAGATTTCCAAAGAGTTGCCCTCAGGTCTTCATGTGAGTATTGGCTAATGTATGCATTTGAGGAAAATACTCAAGGCCAGAGAAAGAAATATCAAAAGAAAGGTGGAAAAACTCTTAGATCTCACACAGGGTTGGGAATAGTTCGTATTTCCACCATTCAGAAAGGAACACATGTGGCATTGAGTAGAGTCCTCAGAAGGGTACTGTGTTGTAGTGGGGACAAATTACCCTGGACAAACTAAATAAATCTTAAAAGCCCTAATAAAGCTTTAAAATGAGCAAACTGTTTCCAAGTTACTTAACTACATCCAAAAACAAAGCCCTGGGGGCCGGCCTGGTGGTGCAGTGGTTAAGTGCACGCACTCCACTTCAGCGGCCCAGGGTCCACAGGTTCGTATCCTTGGCGTGCACTGACACACCACTTGTTAAGTCATGCTGTGGCAGTGTCCCATAGAAAGTAGAGGAAGATGGGCACAGATGTTAGCCCAGGGCCAATCTTCCTCAAGGGAAAAGGGGAGGATTGGCACTGTTTGTTAGCTCAGGGCTAATCCTCCTCACAAAACAAAAACAAAATCAAAAACAAAGCCCCAAAATTTCTAAAGGAATAAAAAAAATCTCAACAATCAAAAATGTAAAATCCACAATTTTTGGCATTCATACAAAAATTACCATGCATGAAAAGAAGCAGGAAAACTATAATCTATTATTAGGAGAAAAAACAATCAATAGAAGTAGATTCATAAACAACACAGATGATAGAAGTAGAAGATAAGGACATTAAAAGAGCAAATATAAATCACTTCACATGTTCAAGAAGGTATAGGAAAGCATGAGCATAATGAGAGATATGGAAGATATAAAAAAAGACACAAAGAAAATTTCTAGAAATGAAAAATACAGTATCTTCCCCCAAAACCAATGACCCCTGTCTAATAATTAGGACAAGTTTAGACAAATCAAAATAGACACACATTCTACAAAATACCTGACCAGTACCGCTCAAAATTGTGAAGACTACTAAAAATAAGGAAGCTCTGAGAAACTCTGAGAAAAAGCCAAGAAGAAGCTAAGGAGACATAAAGACTAACCATAACATGGTAGCCTGGATGGAATCTGGAATAGAAAAAGGATAAAAAACTAAGGATATTGGAATAAGGATAAGGATATTGGACTTTAGTTAGTAATAATGTATCAACATTGGTTCATTGCTTGTAATAAAGGTACCATAAGGTACCTTTAAGGTAATGTAAGATGTTGATAAAAGGGTAAATTGGGTGTGGGGTATATGAGAATTCTCTATGCTATCATTAAATTTTTTCTGTAAATCGAAAACTATTCTAAAATTAAAGTTTATTTTAAAAATAAAATGTCTAAAAGAAAAATACTCTTGATGAGAGTAACAGCATGTTAGACATTGTTGAATGAAAAATAAGTGAATTTGAAGACACAGAAATAGACACTATCCAAAACAAAATTCAGTGCAAAAGTAAAAATGAAAGAAAAATTAACAGAGCATCACATTTGCTTTGTGACAACATCAGCAGCCTAATGCATGGGAAATTGGAGTCTTAGAAGGGGAAAAGAGAAAAAGGGGGAAACAAAAGAATAGTTAAAAAATAATGGCTACATTTTTTCCAAATTTGGAGAAAACTGTAAAGACATGGACCCAAGAAGCTTAATGAACCTCAAATATAAGAAATTTGAAGTAAAACATATCGTGGCTCATTACAATCAAATTGCTTAAACTAGTGGTAAAGAAAAACCTGAAAAACACAATAGAAAAAGACAAATTACATGCAGAGCAACAAAGAAGAATTACAATAGACTTCTCATTAGAAACAATGTCAGCCATATAACAGCTTTAAGGTATTGAAAGAAGAAAACTATTAATCTAGAATTCTACATTCAATACAACTATCTTTCAAAAACTAATGTGAAACAAATACTTTTTTGCACCCATACAAGAGATGAGAGAATTCATAGCCATCAGAGCAGCACTACAAGAAATATTAAAAGAAGCCCTTAGGCAGAAGGAAAATGATCATTTTGGATCTACACAAAGGATTGAAAGTATTAAAAGTAGCAAATATGTGGATGAGTAAAAAATACATTTTCCTTATTTTTAAAAAACTCTTTAAAAAATAATTGACTATTTAGAGCAAAAATAAGAACAATGTCCTGTGGGGTTTATAACATAATAAAGCACAGTATTTGACAAGAGCATACAAGGCTGAGAGGGGGAAATGAAAGTGTGCTGTGATAAACTTCTTATACTATAAGTTAAGTAGTGTAATTTTGTTTGAAGGAAGAATGTAATGAGTTACAAATACTAGTAAAGAAGATAAAATGGAAGCATAAGCACATTAAAATTCTAAGAAAAGACCAGAAAAAGAGGGAAAAGGAAACAAGGAATAGATAGGACAAACTGAAAGTAAATACCATGATGGTAGATTTAAACTCAACCATATCAATAATTACCGTAAGTATTAATGATCTAAATACACCAATTTTCAGATTTTATTTAAAAAGAAAAACCCAACTAAATGCTGTCTGCAATGAACCCATTTAAGATATAAAGATATAGACACACTAAGGGGCCGGCCCCGTGGCTTAGCGGTTAAGTGCGCGCGCTCCGCTGCTAGCAGCCTGGGTTTGGATCCTGGGCGCGCACCGACGCACCGCTTCTCTGGCTATGCTGAGGCCGCGTCCCACATACAGCAACTAGAAGCATGTGCAGCTATGACATACAACTATCTACTGGGGCTTTAAGGGGAAAAAAATAAATAAATAAAATCTTTAAAAAAAAAAAAAGATATAGACACACTAAAAGTAAAAGGATGGAAAATGGTATACTATACTAACTCTAATGAAAACAAAGCTGGAGTGGTTACATTAATGTCAGACAAAGTACTTTCCAAAGCAAGGGATATTGCCAGAAAATCAATTCTTCAAGAGGACATAACAAATCTAAATGTCCATGCCCTTAATAACATAGCTTCAAGTTACATGAAGTAAAAACAGAACTGAAAGGAGAAATAGACAAATTCACAATTATAGTTGGAGAATTCAACACCTTTCTGTCAGTAATTGGTAGAACAAGTAGACAGATAATCAATAAGAATATAGGAGAATTGGGCTATATTATCAGCTAATGACATAAGTGGCAATTACAGAACACTCCACACAACAGCAGAATACAAATTCAAGTGTACATGAAATATTTAAAAGATAAACTATATTCTGAGCTATAAAACAAGTCTCAGTAAATTTAAAAGGATGAAATCATATAAAATGTGTTCTCTGATGACAACAGAATTAAATTAGACATCAAAAAAACAAAAAAAAATCCTATAAATCTCCAAACATGATGAAACTATATAGTACATTTCTAAATAACCTATGGTCAAAGAAGAAATCACAGGGAAATTAGAAAATATTTTGAACTAAATTAAAATGAAAACACAACATACCAATAATCCTTAGCTTTTCTGTTTTGCTCACATTTCAAATCCAATCCACCAGTAATCCTTTAGTAAATCAACTCTGTCTTCAGAATATGTCCAGAATCCAGTCACTTCCCACACCTCTGTTGTTACTTAACCCCACCCCATCCAAGTTATCGTAGTCTTTCTCCTGGATTATTATAGTAGCCTCGTAACTGAACTCTGCTTCTCCCCTGTCCCTAGTTTATCTTCAGTACAGCAGCTACAGTGATCTGTGAAAACCTAAAACAGGCCTTGTCATCACCCTGTTCCTAACGCTGCAAGAGCACCTTCTTTTACTCAGAGGAAAAAAACCGGAAGTCCCTACAAAGGGTTCTCTGTGATCTTCTGCCCATCACGCCTCGGGCTTCGTCTACAACTTCCTTTGCTCCTTCTGCTCTAGGCACACTGTGCTCTTGTCTCCCTCGAACACTCCAGGCACAAACACTTGAACGCCTGTCCTTGGCGTGCTTCTTCCATCTAGAATGCTCTTTCCAGATATCGTCATGCTGGCTCCTTCACCTTCCTCAAGTTTTTGCTTGGATGTCACCTTGTCAATGAGGCCCACACCAACCAACCTATTTAAAGTGGTAGCCCCCAACCCCTACTTCCCTCACACCTGCTTTCCTGTTGCTTTCTTCTGTACACTTACCAACTTCTAAAGTATTAGGTGATTTGCTGATGCATGATGTTTATTGTTGTCGTCTGTCAGTCTCTGATAGACTAAACTATAGTGCCATGGGACAGGCAGGATCTTTGTTTTATTCACTGATGTATCCCAATTGTCTAGAGAAGTGCCTGGCACATAGTAGGTATTTAATAAATATTTATGGAATTTAACTGAACTAGAGGAGGAATAGAGTCTCAAAATACTCTCAGGGATGCAGACACATAAATTCTACCTAGTCCCTAGCTCACCGTCAAATTGAAGAAGGCCTTCCCTAACAACCTCATCAAAATCAGGTTTCCTGTGCTATACTCTCTCTTATCACTTAGGCATTTTCTTTCCTAGTACTTACCACT